GATGTGAGTGGTTTATGCCAGTTTATGCCAGTTTATGTGGTGAATTTTGTCCAGAAACCTAGATCGCGAAGATGGTCCAAAAAAAAAATCAGTGAAATCATCTGAAATCACCATAAATCACCTATTCTTTTTCGTCAGTTGGTCCATTAGAACAACCTCAATGCAACGTTTTTTGTTTTTAATCAGGATGAAGCGACGGGACCCATGCCAAAATGTTGCATGATTTCAGGTTGGTGAATTGTCAGATTCTACTAGAAGATTCTTGGTTGACAGATATGGGTATACCAACCCATCATTAATAAACGATTAATATGAAGATGCCGTCATGTTGATATGTATTGGAGGTCGATATCGCTTGCGATTTACAAGACATGCTCATCGCTTATCATCGCTTGCATCGCTTGCGAAATTGGAGCAGCGCCAAGCGCTGGACTCCATTTGACCTTTGCGCATGGGTAACCATTGGTAACAAGGATCCAGCAAATGCAAGTGGTCAACATTTCGGTGACTCAAAATGACAGCAAACTGTGGTTCCCTCGATCATATGATCCTTGCCCACCGCTTTATATTCGGCTGCAGTCCTGCACTGTCTGGTTTCTGAGCCACTTATGATGTGTGGATCACTCATGCAAGGCTCACGGGAATTTAGGCATCCGGCAACCAAAGAGGACAGCAGTGGATTTGACTGGGTAGTTGTTGGATGACATGTGCAGATTGGGTCATTTGAGTACGCGCAAAAGGACCCTGAGTTTAAATTGGGCCCTCCTCGATCCAAAGCTCTCTGCAGATTATAAAGCCTCGTTTTCTTTGTTTCAGTTCAGAGGACATCTTGAGGACTTTTGTTTTGTTTCTTTGTTGAGTTGAAGGAGGAATGCTCAGAGATATGGCGATGGAAACTAGCCAAATTTGCCGTCGATTTGGTGTCATTTTCCAGGAATATTTTGCGCCATCAGAATCAAATCCATGGTCAATGTTCTTTCAGGTTTCCATATATTTTTGGGGTGTTTATCCGATTTCACATGGATTTTTTGCTGGCTGTGTTTCCTTCAATAGCAAAATGCCGTGCTTAAAAATCCCATGTTGTTCACTCAAATATCAAATCCACTGCCACCTGCGGCATTGCTACTCTGGCGTCTGGTCGCAGCCAGACCTTGACACGGCGACCCGCTTGGCTCTTTCTGAACGAAGGGAATTTCCCAATGACCCGGGAATTTCTGACATTGGGAGACTAAAGCTATCTAAAATCTATCTAAAGCTCATGGGGATCATGTAAAGCTCGAGCTCTGTTGATTACGCATGATCTTGGAGCCAAGCGCCATATGGATCCATATGGGCTATGCCATATCAACCTCACCCGTTGCAATTCTTGCAAGAACTGCTGCAACTGGTAGGACCTGTCAAAATATGCAACTAATAGTTTCAAAATCATGTAAACCACTGTAAATCACCGTAAAGCCCACTTGATTTTGCAACTTTAGCATCTACAATCATCTACATGATGAAGTGGTGTCCTTTGAAAAACTGGATGCTGCCATGACACAAGCCACCAGGAATCATTCTCCGACTGTCAACCTGGTCTCAAAATGAGCGCTGCGCTATCGCTGGTTAGAAACTGATAGCTTGGGATTTCAGATGGCAATCAACTGACTAAGTTTCGTATGCTTGTGTACTGTTTGCTTGTTTGTTTGCTTGTTTGTTTGTTTGCTTGTTTGTTTGCTTGCTTGTTTGTTTGTTTGCTTGTTTGTTTGCTTGTTTGTTTTCAATAGCCCATGAAATCCTGGGGGGTAAGTCTTCTGTGTGAATCAACCAAGGTTTGTAGATCCAGGATTGATATTATAATCATTTATACAATGTGAGGCCCCCCAGTTATAAGTTGGTTTATAAGCCCCAGTAACTATAGTTATAAGTACCATAAACCATAGTTATTGGAGTTATCAAAGGAAGTTGGGAAGCAATACTTCCGTGTTACGGACAAATAGAATTCAGCGACTTGAAATGATGCAGGGTGGTAGATCACATAACAATACATAACAAAAGAATAAGAAGCAGTTAATGACGGGTGGTGACGAAGGGAAGTGGTGACGAAGGGAAGTGATGACGAAGGGAAGTGGTGACGAAGGGAAGTGGTGACGAAGGGAAGTGGTGACGATGGGAAGTGGTGACGAAGGGAAGTGATAAGCAAGGGGAGTGGTGACGAAGGGAAGTGGTGAGGAAGGGAAGTGGTGAAGAAGGGAAGTGGTGACGAAGGGAAGCGGTGAAGAAGGGAAGTGATGATGAAGGGGAGTGGTGACGAAGGGAAGTGGTGACGAAGGGAAGTGATGATGAAGGGGAGTGGTGACGAAGGGAGAGGTGAAGAAGGGAAGTGGTGACGAAGGGAAGTGGTGACGAAGGGAAGTGGTGACGATGGGAAGTGGTGACGAAGGGAAGTGGTGACGAAGGGAAGTGGTGACGATGGGAAGTGGTGAGAAGAAGTGATGAAAGTAGTGAGGGGAAGCGGTGAAGCGGTGACGAAGGGAGGGACGAAGGGAGGTGGTGACGATGGGAAGTGGTGACGATGGGAAGCGGTGAGGAAGGGAAGTGGGAGTTGGGGAGGAAGCCGGAGCACGAAACCTTGTGTTTTTCCGTGTAAAGTGGCTGCAGCCGGCGATGAAAGGTACCTCGTCTGTGCGGCGGGTGCGGCTGCGGTCGGTTTGCCTTTTTTTTTTGCCGCATTGTAACGGTGGCTTCAAGGTGCTTTGGGTGTGCTTGTGTGTGTGCGTAGTTATAGGGTGTTTTGGAATCTGTGCTTGCAGATCGCATTGGAATGGCTGCATGATGTTGCAAGGGCTCTGTTTTGGGGAGGAAGCCGGAGCACGAAACCTTGTGTTTTTCCGTGTAAAGTGGCTGCAGCGACGATGAAAGGTACCTCGTCTGTGCGGCGGGTTGCGGCTGCGGTCGGTTTGTCGTTTTTTTTTTGCCGCAGTGTAACGGTGGCTTCAAGCTGCTTTGGGTGTGGTTGTGTGTGCGTAGTTATAGGGTGTTTTGGAATCTGTGCTTGCAGATCGCATTGGAGTGGCTGCGTCAAGGTTGCTTGCCGCCGCGGCTGCATGCGTAATACTATTGTCTTTTGCAGCTGAAGATTGTAAATCGTATTGGAGTGGCTGCATCCAGGCTGCGATAGTCATTTGTCAGCAGATTTTCCCAAATTTGGCGCTAATAATTATCCTTTTAAAATTCCTTTTAAAAAATGCTTCAAAATCGTCTTTTTTTTGCTTTGGCGTCGAGATCCGGTTTTGGAGCTGCAATTTCCGACGCCGTTGCGCTTAGTTCTATTGTGATTTGCAACTCAGTCTCTGCAGATCGCATTGGAGTGGCTGCCTCAAGGTTGCTTGCCGCCGCGGCTGCATGCGTAATACTATTGTCTTTTGCAGCTGAAGATTGTAAATCGTATTGGAGTGGCTGCATCCAGGCTGCGATAGTCATTTGTCAGCAGATTTTCGCAAATTTGGCGCTAGTAATTTTCCTTTTAAATTCCTTTTCAAAAATGCTTCAAAATCGTCTTTTTCTTGCTTTGGCGTCGAGATCCGGTTTTGGAGCAGCAAATTGTAGCATACTGGAAACGACTTTGTGCAAGCTTTGTAGTACAAAGTAGTACTGGGGAGTACTTTGTGCAAGTTTTGTAGTACAAAGTAGTACTGGGAATTGTAGTGCAAAGTAGTAGTGGGTGCAAGCTGTGTAGTGCCAAGTAGTATGTACTGGGAAGTAGTACTGGGAAGTAGTTTGTCAGCTAGTTCGTGGATGTAGGTTGCTATTTCGAGTTTTGTGTGCGATATTGATGTAGGTAAATGTTGTGACATTGATGTTCAGGAACAAGCTATAGAACTCTTGATTAGAAACCACGGTGGCGATGTGTTGTGGCCGCAGCCGTTTGCATTTTCCAGGAGGCAAACATGTGTAGCAAGAAAGAATTGGGAACGTGCATGTGTCAGAGGTGTCATGTCTTCAGGTCTCATGGTTAGTCACGAAGATTTTCTCATGTTTTGGAGCGGTTATAGTGGATGAGAAAGGCATGCATGATGAGACAGCCATGCTCATAATTTCGGACGTCGCAGTGCGCAAGGAGACGTGGCAGTGCGGCCCGTTTCCTAAGACGCGGTGGAGCCATGGCGCAATCGGGGACCTTTGCTGATCTGTGGTCATACATCGAGAAGGAAGCGGCGACTTTGAAGGTGCTGGAATGTAAGACGTTGAAAGCTTGTCTAAGCACCGGAAAATGTTGGAAGTATTACAAGATGTATCTTGCTCTTGAGAAAACCTTTTCAGCCGAACAGACTCAAGTGATACAAGAATGGGAAAAACAAAACTGCGTGTCAGATGTGCGAGCAGCCTTTCGGAAGTTTTGTGCTGCTGCAGAAGCGCACGTAGAGGAGATGAAGGCTTTGGGAAAAGGTACATTGCGTGATGTGTGCATGAGTAAGACTGTTTCACAGAGCAGAACTTGGGGAGGCATTTGTTATCGTTTTGTGAAGAACTACACATATGAGAGTTTGAATGAAGAAGAAAAGGAAAAGTGGAAGGATTTGGAACGGCGGGTATGTGTGAAGCATGCAGCTGCGCAGCCCGAGTTCGATCGTTTCGTCAACATTCTTGAAGATAACAGAGAAGAGTTGCAAGGGATGCAGAAGTCTACGCTGCTTCAACTCATGTGTGCAGCTGAGCGTACAGGTAAGCCAGAATATGTATTTGGCCGAAATTTTTGGCGACGGAGGTATGAAAACCTTGATGAAGATATGAAGGCTAAGTTGCAGGAATGGGAAACATTGTTGTGTGTTCCAGCAGTTGATTCGGTAGACAAGTTCATGCAGATCCTGGATCGAAGAAAAGTAGAATTGCAATCCTGTGGCGCAGCAAGTGTTGAGTCTTTGTTTAATGTGCACGGCAAGAAGCAAGATGCCGAACTTCGTTGCTGTTTTGACTTCATGCAACGCACGTTTCCGAGTCTGACAGAGGACAAGAAAGAGATGGTGAGAAATGCGCTAGGACAGCTGTTGCCAGCAGCAGCCACTGTGCCGCTGAAGAAATCGCATGAAGCAAAGTTGCATAGCCGGGAGACAGTCTTGGGAGATGACTTGCCACGGCCCAGGTTGCCGAAGAGTTTAATACAACTGTCTTAATACTAGTGTGAAGTGTGGAGTGTGGAGTGTGAAGTGTGGAGTGTGAAGCGTGAAGTGCGAAGTGGAGCTTCAAATGTGACATGTGAAACAGGACACCACTTTCGCAGAGTGCACGCATGCACGGGCCTGGCTGGCGCACGGCGCATGCAAGTTCTATAGATGAGAAAGGTCTTATATATATCTTTAAGGCAACTTCCGCCCCGCCTCGTGCGGGTACTACTGGTAAACCAACTTAGCTATCTTGGGGGCCTCACATTGTAATTAAGATTATGAAATTCAATATCAAAGTCTGAGTTTGCGAATTCTGTGACAAAATAAGAGATGAAACCACATCGCGACATGCCATCACCCACTACCAATGCAACCAATGATGGTCCCAGGTCAGGCTGATTCAGTGCGGCGACTCAATGGGAGCTACTCCAAAGTCGCTGAAATCAAAGGTCGAACCCCAGAAACACCATTGGATTCGGGGTTTTGGATGGTTTTTGGGGGGGGTTCATGTTTTGACATCTTTTGACATCTTGTGACATGCTTTGACTCTTGGACATTTTTTCTTTCGCTTTCTTTTGTTCCGAGATTGAGCTTCTGCACTGGTCGAAGCTGGCCCAAGGGCGGCCTCGGGAGCAATGTGAAGAAAACATCTCGACAAGAAGATTCTATTTCTATTCCCCACAAATTTAGAATCCGCGATGTTCCTCAAATGCCTCATATATTTTGTATCTTTTTGGGGTCCCATATATCAATACATATCAAGTTTTGTATCTTTCTAACTCTTTTTTTGGGAAACGAAATGGCGCTGCTGAGGTGGGTACTCCCCGTGCCCGCTCACAATCCCGTGGTCCTCGCTTGGAAGCGCCCAGATTTGAGGCGCCACAAAACCTCGAGCACAACAAAAATCATGAAAATTCATGAAACAATCTGGATTTCTTCCCGTTTCTTGACGTTTCGTGTCTGAAAAATTGGATTTCTGGCCAATTCTGAATGTGCTCTCTCCACATATTGCCGATTTTGGCTCCAAGTCATGATTCTTGGGCGAAATTCGAGGTCTCAAGCAGCCCCCGTGCGCGTCAGGGAACCTTGGAAGGGACAGTGGTTGGTAGCAGCAGCAGCTGTATCCGTAGAAAAAGGAAGGGTCGATACTTCAATTCACGAGACAAAAAAGCATCCAACCACTTGCCACTTGTGGCATATCCCATGTGCCCCCACTACCGCATACTGGCACTGAATGTTCCCTATTTATTTGCCGTCAACTTGTTTGTGAAAGTTCTCAGTTTTCTTGGTTGTTTTTGTTTCAGGATTGTAGTTTTGATGGTTTTACATGCACCCATTGGTCTTCAAAGTTCCCACTGAGCTCCCGAGGAATGGGGCATCATTTGGACATGACACCAGAGTTTGGGGTCCCCAGTCGATGGCATTGATGGGTCAAGGCGACTCTTCTCCATGGTTCGTTCGCGAACTAAAACAATTTTGGACGATGATCGCATTGTCAAAGAATAAAACCTCCACTGTTTTGTTGGTTATGTGGAGATGAGTGGAGTCATTCTTTTGATACCCAAAAACGGGCCGTTGACACATGCAAAAAATGAACAGGTCATTTCCCATTTTTTACCGAACCTTGAGTTTCACTCATAGTCATGCAGATGTCACCTCAGTTCTTTTATGAACATTTGCACGAGAAGAAAACGGAGAATACTTGCATGTTTGTTTCTCCTGTTTGTTCTATTCTTGTTGGGAAAAGCCCAACATTACACCATGCGTGGATATCCTCCGTGCTTGTAGAAACTTTGGTTGGAACATGTTGAAACATAGCTGATCCACTTTTGCCTGGACATCCCACTTTTACCTTGGCTTGGTTGCCTCCCTAGTGTAAGTTTCAAATATATCCTTACGATAGGTGTTGGTCCAGAAAATGTTGGTCCTATCTCCACTCTCTTAGAGGCTCTGCCTCTACTAATGTTGCTTGTTTTTGTAGTGTCTCCCTTTTTGTTGCTTATATGCCTGGGTTATCCTGGTTTAATTGAAGCCCCCTAAATTGGAATGTTCTTGGGCACTTCCCTGAGGATGGGTCAACATCTGTGGGACCATCTTTGGGGGAGATTCCTAGATATAGATATTGTCACAACTCCAGTTCTGGGAGCAATTATATAGATGATATATGTTTTTTTATAGAAATGTATAGAAATGTATAGAACTTCTTGTCATTTCGTATAATATCTATCAATGATACGGACGTGGTAAAGAAATGTAAAGAGATGCCAACCAAAGAAGCCAACTTTCATCTGAGGTCAGTGCGTTCTGGACGCAGCTTGGCGCGCAGTGTGCGCAGCTTGCGAAGCACCCGCAGTGGTGCCTCGACTGATCCCGGGGGCCCCTGGGCCCTTTGATTCACAGTAAATAGGTCTGTCTAAAAATGGGATATACTAATGGATTAACCAATGGATTTAATAGGGACATGATGGTTAACCAATGGATTAACCAACTATGAACTGACCGTTTTTTCATAGGGAAATGATAGCAACGATGGTGGTTCACCACAGTTAACCAATGGATTTAGAGATTTTCGGACCCCAAGCCATAGCTGATTTTATCAGTGAAGTTGATGAATTCCTCCCCGAAGGTGAACACAGTTCGGATCCGCTACCGGGTCACCGTTGGGTGGAACCCCCAGGATAACTAACATAAATCCAAGAATAATTGTCAAGTACCGGTAGTACCGCACAAGGCGGTGGCGGAAGTTTCAAAAATAGGAAACCTATAGGAGGGGTTGGTTGTCGTGAATCACGGATGGCAGGGTGAATCCACTGATGGACCGAAAGATGATTGGAGTTGTGTTTTTTCGAGTGGTTGCAATGGTTGCAGTGGTCACCTGGTCGGTCACCTCACCCACAACTGCTGGATGTAGTGTGGTGTAGTGAAGCTGTAGTTGTGGTTGTAGTGTAGTGGAGTTGTAGTTTTGGTGTAGTGCAATTAGTGTAGTATAGTTGCAGCTGCATATGAGCAAGGGTCAAAAGACGCTATGAAAGGCTTCAATTACGAGCGGTCGTCACTACTCAAAATATGTGATTTACTGTGTGTAGCGATAGGGGGCCTTATGTAGCGATACCTCTTTTTAGACTTTGTTTATGATTGAATCTTCCCATTGTAGCCTTTTTTGGTCAAAACGCAGCTGCCTATCATGGTGCGAAAGCGGCAGCGGGTGCGATTCGATCTCAGGATACAAGGGTCCAACCATGGTTTTACATGGTTTTTACTTTAAAACATGGCATTCCAAGAGATCTAGGGGAGACCAAATGAAGATTCTTCGCCCTTTAGGAGTGAGAGGTGGCAGGCTTTTCGGCTTCATCCTGGTCCAGGGGAAAGAAAGACATCTTTCCACTTGGAGGAGCGGGATGCTTGGCGATGGTTGCTTGGTTTCAGCGACAAGCCAGAGATCGACGATATTCCACCTGAGTTCAAGGACTTGGTGGTTACAGACACGGATGCCGTGCCTTGCATTCCACGCTGGCGGTGTGGTGAATTTTGGTTGTGGCAAGGGCAGGTGATGATTAAAGCGCAATCTTTAAGGGAAACATGAGTTTGGACATGGAGTATACTTAGCCCTATAGATCAGGTTAGGCTATTAAGAGCAAAATCTTATAGGTTATCTGTAGTCTATTTTCCATCTAATAGTCAGGATGCAAATAGGATATGCATAACCTAAACTCCGGGAAATAGGATAACCTATTGTCTAACCTATTGTCTAATTCCTAGCAAATAGGATAACCTAACCTTTTTCTAGGTTATGCGTAGGTTATGTATATCCTATTTGCATCCTGACTATTGGATAGAACATAGGATATAAGATATTTTGCTCTTAATAGACTAACCTGATCTATAGGGAATCATGGTGGTGGTGATTGGTGATTGGTGGTGGTTGTGGTTAGTGGTTGGTGGTGGTTGGTGGTTGGTGGTGGTGGTGGTGGTGGTGGTCGTGCCTTGGCGTCTTCTACCTCGACACGCTGATGCTCCTTGGCTGGTGGTGGTGGTGGTGGTGGTGGTGGTAGGTGCCAGATGGTGCCAGATGGTGCCCGCTGAGGAGGTGCAAACACCTGCTCCAAAGTTGCGGCGCATCGCGTTAGATGCACCATCCGGTGAGAAGGAGATTCAGAAGGTGCCTGCTGAGGCTTCGACGCCTGGCAAAGCGCAATGTGCGCAGCAACTGGGGCTGCCTGCCCCCTATTAGTAGTAGACATTTTCATGCCCTCCATTTTGAGAATCCTAGCCCTCATACATCCCATATTTTTCCATTCTAAATTCTAGGATATCCCCATCAAATCAAGCAACCCCGAATAGAGATTCAAAGCGGTGATAACCTTTAGTGCCACCATCAAATCCCATTAAATCTCTACACACCCCCATCAAATCAATCCACAAGATCCCAATATATCCTCTCAGTGATGGCCTTTTGCCAGTTATTTATGGGTATAAATGGTTGAAAATGAGGTAGAATGGGGTTGTAATTTTACAAATGGTGTTATAAAGTTATAAATGACTGGTAAAAGGCCATAACAATAAGGACACTCACACACACACACACGCAGCACCACTGACATCAGCTTCTGCTCCATCTGCAGGTTCGAAGATCCGCCGCCGGCGACAGAGACTGCAGCGCCGTTTGTGGATCTGGCCATCGCCGACGGTGTGGTGCAGTTCCTTGCCAGCGGGTCAGAGAGCAGTGCAGGTGGAACATAGCAAGCCTGCCATGCATGTTTGAACTGTAGCCTGTACGGTTTTAATCTTGTGTGTTGCGAGGTTTGAAGACAGCACTGCTGGAGCGTTGGCTGTTGATGCTGGCGAAGTGCCTGCTGCATTTGCTGGTGAGCTGTCTGAGCTACTAGTCAATCATGGGACGAGGGCCGGGAGTGTCACGATATAGCTTCAACACCTGCTATGGGGTTACACCTCTGTGCATATCCTGCTAATGGTTTGCAGCTTGCCTTGCCAGCTATCTGAGGTTCGGGGAGATGCCTGGGTCGCAAGATGCAGCGCAACCTGCTGTATCTGATCATGAGATTGCACAGCTGCTCAGCTGCGCTGAGAGTTGAAACAGTGAAGCAGCACGAAAATAACCCGCAAGCCGCGTTGCTGCGATCTGCTGTTTGTTTATTTTGTTCCTCCGGCACACAGGCTTGGAGACGCACGTGCTGAAATTGATCATAGCGGTGGCGACGTTGGTGAGATATCCGAGCTGCTAGTCTGCTGCGGCGCCGCTTTTGAGACAGATTCCACCAAGATAATCAGAATTGACAATCGTCAATACTAAGAATTTTGACCATCAATGTTACGAATGTAACCATCAATAGGGATGTAGCCTTCCATAATGGAGATATGACTTGACCACCGATAATACAGATGTAACGATGTAACCGTCATAATGTACCCATAAATAATAGGGATGCTATCATCCATAACAGGGATGTAACCATCAAGAATACGGATGTAACCATCCATAATAGGGATGTTACCACAAACAGGAGAATGAAGCACAAACAATAGGGATGTAACCGTCAAAAAAGGGGAGGTAAGCACCAACAAAGAGGGATGTAGAGATGTCGCCATGGACAATAGAGATACAACAGTCATAGAGATGTAACCATCAATCTAGTTGCGTGGCCAGCAGAGATGAATGAGCATCACCTATTTTTTTTACTTGAAACTGTCACATAGTCAGTCAGGTCTGGCCATGCAGCTGTACCGCTTGACGCTGCGGAAGCCACAGCTGACCAGCCGTGCGAGCATGCTGCTGATGTTGCCGCCCCCAAAGTTTCCCTGACATGCCAGCAGCGGGCCCGCATGAAGAAACTTGTTGCGAATGCCATGTCCAGCAAAGGCAATAAGACTCGCAAAGCGTGGTCTTTTGCCAACGAGTGTTGCATCTGTACAAAGAAGAAGCATGCTGTCAAGTGGGTTATGAAAGACAACGGTGTCGTCACCGGGTCTTGGTGTTACCATTGCAACAGAGCTGCCATCAAGCTCAAGTGTACAAAGAATGCCGAGGTTCTGAAAGAGATGCCGGAACTCAAATCCTTGCTCCAGGCCAAACGCGCTGAGCTTGCACAGAGCATGGAGATGTACAGCGACGATTCTTGCAACTGCCGAGTTTGTGTCCCGAGGCCTAGGAAGCAGGATGCTGATGATTCCACTGACAAGGTGCCAGAGACACCACACCCTGTCAGTGTTTCAGAAGGTGTGGAAGTCGAAGACTCGCCTGTATAGGAAAACTTCCTTTGCTGAGTATGTTTTGACCATTTGACCATAGCACAGCTTCAGTTGCCTTGATGGGGTCAGGCAACAAGCAGCGCGCAGCTACAAAGTCTTAGCTTTCTGTTGGGCGCATTTGCTGAGTATGTTTTGACCATTTGACCATAGCACAGCTTCAGTTGCCTTGATGGGGTCATGAGCTTGATAATGGTGCACGTTGCAATTCTACTCCTGGACAGTGGCTTTGGAGAAGCGTTCGTGACCGCACAAGGATGTTTGTTCAACATATCTCAGCAATGTCACTATCTGAATCAACATCATCACCATCATCAGCATCATCTTGTCAGAATTTCCTGTCACTTGAAACATACCCCTGAGATCGCACATTTTCTGGTCCCCGTAGCGATGCCCGAAGCGATACCCCTCGATACCCAGAGCGATACCTGAAATCCATGAAATTAGGGAGTACCCCACATGGTCACTTGAAACTACACAACTTGTTTTCTATTTGCAGACGTCAGTAGCTTCTAGAGGTATGCCGCGTTCCAAAGAGACGCTCACAGGCATTCGCAATTTGCTCAGCGATTTGTTCACATGTCTACCTGTTAGGGAGAAGTTGCTCCTTGCAGTCCGCGAAGCTGTTCCTGGAACACCAAATGTGGCACTAGCTGTGGGGCATGGGAATCGTCCAGCAGAGGTGCTTATAACTAGCCGACAGCGAGACTGGCTGGTACAGCATTTGTCTGCAGAATATTGGGGGAAATTGACAGTCGAGCAGCAACAGCTTTACATGAATGGTCTGGTGGTGCACGATTGTCCATTTTTGGAGGGTGAGAGGGTCCAAAGAGAGAGGTGACTAAGTGGCATATAAGTGCTTATCTGAACCTTTCACAGGCATGATTTCTGAGCTATAGCGGAACCGTTAGATAAGAACCGATCAAGAATTTTCCAGCCTACCCAGGGTTTCTTAAATGCTATAGGTGGAAAAATATGGGAAGTATGAACAAGGGTACCCTCAAGTTCTTAATGGGTTAGTTCTTAAAGGGTTCATTTGTTGAGGGTTTTGCCGATTCAGGTTGCAAAGGAGCCGGGGTAAAGAAAAAAAGGCGGCGGAAACAAGGCAGCACAGGCAAGACAAGCCAAGACAAGCCAACACAAGCCAAGGGCAGCCTCCGAGGTCAGATGACCTGCAGTGAGTCCGGCTGGTGTCTAGCTGAAGCTGTCGACGCCAGTCTAGGTGATCACGTAAAACTTTGAATTTCCCTGGAGATACCATCGCAAAGGGAATAAGAATCAGTGGCTCGAATTCTAGGGTACCCTAGGTTTCTTATTTCAATTAGCTGACAGACAGGGTTCAATCCAGACAGGGTTTCACTGTACACTGCCTTGTTTCTTTTCTTGTCTTTCTCATCCCACCTGCCTGAGTGATGTGCAAGTTGTTTAACCTTCACTGCTTGCCAACCAAGGCCAGCTGCTGAAGCTCCTTCTGGGAAACGACAGCATGACGACGTATGCGGTGACGAACCTAGGCAAAGCAGCAAGAGCGGCAAGTGGGCGCCATTATCAGAGGTCGAAAGCAAGCAGGTAAGACGCAGAGTGGCCAACTTATGGGAAAACATTAGCAAGTCAGCGACGCAACAAGATGCTTTAACTGTTCTTTTGAAAGTCCTTAAAAAAGCAGAGGAGGAGTGGCCTGGAAGCTTGTCCTTGTTCAGTCAGCAATGCGCGAAGGTTTCTGGTGCTGGTGATGAGTGCCAGCGTTGTTGCAGCCTAGTGTCTGGCTTGAGCAAGTTGCAAGCTTTTCAGGGAGCAAAGCTGTCAACCTCGAACCGTACTGTGCAGCACCAAGTCGATTGCTTAATCCGAAGTTTGGTGAGCACGCGAAGAATCTGTGAGGCTTGGCTACCCCATGGGAGACATTCGCTGGCGCAAGGCAGGTTGCCCCGATGAAACCATCAACCCTGGCGGGCGCCCGTCCAAAGTCAACTGTGAGGAAACGATCAAAATGGTGCAAGATGCGCTCGATTCGAACTCCCAGCCTTCCTCTTCTGTGTGTCAGAAGGGTGAGACTTGGAGTGTGGTAAACGCATTGACCAGCAACCCGACAGCTGTTTTCCAGAAAGAAGCAGCTATCCATAGTGAAATTTCTATACGCACTTTTCGACGCATCCTTCGCAGACACCTGGTTGAATATAAGACTCCTCGAACCCTTACTGATTGGTGCCAACATTGTGCTCACCTTGAGGATTCTGTGCTTCCCGAAATACGAAAGGCTATGAAACATTGGCAAGACAAATTGTCCTGCATCACGCCTTGCTACTTTGAAGATTGGGATTCGTTTGTTGCTTTGACCGGTTTGAATTTCGAAGATCAACCGGGACTTTATCTTTCAGAACTCGAGCATTTCATCAAATTGCATTGTGAAAGCAAGCCTTGCCGTAAACATGCAGGTTCAGGTTCACTGTTTCCATGTGGAAAGTTTGATCTTCGCAAACGTGGTAGTGGTTTCCCACAAAAAAGTCGCCTGGAGCTTCACAACACTGAAGCGGCCGCGAGCTATGAGCTCCACGCGCACTTGAAGCTGTTGCTTGGCTATTTGCACCATAGAGCCGCCAAAGAAGCGCAGCATGCTGCCATCACGAAACTGTTGGAGAACCCGCCGGTGGGAATGGCATGTTTACTTTCTGATTGGAAGGAATTAGAAACCCTTCCGCAATGTTTTAAAGCCACGGGCGACCAATTCTTCGCTCAGGCACGTCATGAAATTTCTGTGTGGGGGGCACTTCTTTGTGAGCATTCAGACACATCAACGTCAGAGAAGCCGGAAATTATGCAAACATACATTGTGGTCGTGTCTAAGATCCTCGATCATACAGCCTTGCGGACGAATCAGTTAATACGCATTGCCTTGAAGGTGAAGAAATCTAAGAAACCTTGGTCCAGCTTGGCTCTGATTAGTGACTGTGGGCCACACTACAGAAGTATGGAATCTTTGGCTCATGGCTTGGTATACCTTCACAATGCATATGACCGCATACCTATCGAAATTCACTTTGGGTGCGGAAAACATATGAAAAGCAGTATCGATAGGTTGTTCGGATGGACAAAGGCTATCCTCCGTCGTACTGTTGCTGGCCAAAAAGATCTTCTGGAGATTGAAGACGTTGTCACTGCCTTGCGAGCTGGTTTTGCGCAGAACAAGAAAGACAACCCAGCGGGCCCCAATGTTGTAGTTGGCCTTGATGACTCTCCGGTGCCACCGCTGTCCCAAATCTTGAGTGTAAAATCAAAGAATTTCAAGATCTCTCGCTCATATTGTCTTTCTTCGGCCCCATCCAAATTGAGACCAGCTGAACCGAGGATTTTCAATCACACTTTCAGCAGCAAGCCGGCCGCGGAGGAGATCGACTATGAGCTTGAGCAAGGTGAAGTGCCAAGTGCTTGGCGCAGAGGCTTTTGGAGTGCTTCCAAATCTGCTTGGGCTGACAAGCCAAAACCGCTGTATCCAAATGAAGAAAATACTCTTTCTCGACGGTTTTTGGCGCAAAAGCATCTATTGCCATCAGTTCTGGAAAGGTGCAGACAATTGCTCCCTGACTTTGCAGAGGAGGCTCGCCGCAGACAGAAGAGATTGAACAGAGCTCGTGCAGCGGCGCGCGCTCGCAAGGATGCTTTGGCGAAGGCCACGGACTCTTCATCCAATTCCTCATCTGGATCCTCCTCGTCCAGCAGCGATTCTGCCTAGTTGATGAAAAAGGTGCTGGGACTGTGTGTAGCGATAGGGGGCCTTATGAAGCGATGCCATGACCTCACCACATGAATTGAGTTTCGACCGTCGCACATATGAGTGTAGTGTAGTGTAGTGCAGTGTAGTCTCTGTACTGTAGCGTAAGGTAGCGTAGTTGGAGTTGTAGCTGTAGTTGTAGTTAGTGTCGTGTAGTGTGGCGTGGTGTGGTGTAGGGTGTGGTGTAGCGTAGTGTATTGTAATCAGTGTAGTGTAGCGTAGTGTTATGTGGTTGTAGTTGTAGGTGCGGTGTAGTGTAATTCAGTGTAGTGTAGTGGAGTGTAGCCTAGTGTAATTTAATTAGTGTAGTGTAGTGTACCGTATTGTAGTGTAGTTGTAGCTGAAGCTGTAGTTGTAGGTAGTACGTAGTTGTAGTTGTAGTTAGTGTAGTGTAATGTAGTCTAATGTAGTCTAATGTAATTAGCGTATTGCAATGTACTTAGTGTAGTGTAATGTAGTTGTTGTTGTATTTGTAGTCGTAGTTGTAGTTGTAGTGTAGTGTAATTGAGCGTAGTGTAATTGAACGTAGTGAAGTGAAGTGAAGTGAAGTGGGGTGTAGTGTAATTAGTGCAGCGTAACGTAGCGCAGTGTAGTGTGGTGTCATGTAGTGTAGTTGTAGTTGTAGTTGTAGTTAGTGTAGTGTAGTGTAGTGTAGTGTAGTGTAGTGTAGTGTAGTGTAGTGTAATGTAGCGTCGTGTAATGTAATTGGTGTAGCGTAGTGTAGTCTAATGTAGTTTAGATGTAGCTGTAGTTGTAGCAGTAGTTGTAGTGTAGTGGAGCCTAGTGTAGTGGTGGTTGTAGTTGTTGAAACTGCTGCAAAACCCTCACCTTTTTTTGCTCACTTTTGTCAAGGTGCACAATCCCTTGCGCCTGCCATGCGAAACGCATCTGAACGTCCAAAAGTGGTTCGAGACCGTCAGTTTTTAACACTTTTGACTTCGAAATGTGCTTCACGCCACAACGGTGTGCACTTTTTCGGCATCTCAACTTCCAAAAGTGCTCCAAAGCTGGTGTGCTTTGCACGTTTTGACTTAGAAATGCGCGACAACGGCATGCACTTTTTCAACATCTCAACTTCCAAAAGTGGTCCGAGCACGGTGTATTTTGCACGTTTTGATTTCGAAATCTCTCATCTGGCCAGATGGCTCCGCACCCGCCGCTTTAGCGAGCCTACTTTTCGACCCTCCGGAGCCACAAATCATTGAATCACACAGTGAATCGCGGCTTTTCTACCGGTTCGCGCGCCCGCATCTTCTTTCGTCTGACTCTTTCTCTTCTCCGATCTTCTTTCTTCTGCTGTTCTCTTCGCTGGCTCTTACCACCTCTGCTTTTCCATCTGTCCATATTGTCGGAAGTTTGACTTCTAAACTTCCTTCGGATATGTAATGAGCTTATATATATATATACAGATGATATTCCAGTGGGAAATGACACTCGTCGGTTTCCGTTTCCGTGTGAAAGCCTTCTGGTGTATATGGGATGTACATGGGTTGCAACCATCAATTGACCCATAACCTCGGGAATTAACTTCAAGACAACCAAAAAAAAGGCCATACAGCCTGGTCGGACAAGGGTTTCTACAATCCAATATTATACGATTTTTGTGTCTATTCTTTCTGCATTCAAGCAGTCTGCAGTCTCTGGAACCTGTTCAGCGTGACGTCTTGAGCCAATAGTCATGTTGCCAGTCACAGTCAGATCAGTACGATCATGGAGTGCGCACTGGGTACAGCGTATGTATTTTAACAAATACAGAGGGTTTAATACTAACAAATAAACACAGGGAGAGGGCTCAATACGTAGCTGTGGGGTATTGCTATTCGTGAGGTACCCGCACAAAATATGGTCGGTTTTCACCGGTTCTGGATCACAGAGCGTTGGAAATCGGTACTGGTACTTGAATTTCTGATATTCAAAAGTATGGCCCTCAAAAGTGGACCCTAAGATGGAATGGTTGAGACCAAAATTTGATTTGCAAAAAAATGTAAAAGGATATTTACCAGTGGATTGCACCAAGTTCGCTCTCCTGCACGAGGTTCGAACCTCAGCGTCGATTCCCAACTGTCGCGTAGTTCATCACAGTAGGGCATCCCAGAGCAGCCTGTCGATAACAGTTCCAGAGGCGCCTGGCCTTGCGTAGTTGCAGGAATTTGAAACGGCATTTCACGAATGACAAGACAACCAAAGTAGGTATGGTTTGATCGGTTTGATGGCTCTGATGTGCAAACACATGAAGATACGCAGTCGGGTTTCCATGCTGTTTAGGTTGCTGCATGTTGGCAGATGTGGCCACAAGATCCTAACTGGCACCACCGGCATCATCCTGTGACGCCCAGCAGGATCATTTTCAGCACGAAAATCTGCAATCGTTGTTGGTCAGCATCGGTTGGTTTTAAAATCCACCAGGTGGTGCATGAAACATATGAAACCTCTATCTTGGTCAGATTCCCCCATTTGGTCCCGTAAAATCCTGCATGTTGATAGATAAATTTCCCGTTGTCATTGAAAATGTCTCGTTGTTTTTCTTAAAACTCACATGTTGATTCATAACAATCATGATCAACATCCCAATGTGAATCTTGGTGACATTCCAAAATTCCCATCTTCAGGAAGATATCATGAGTCCAGTTCACATCCATCACTTCTGATCACTTGGTGCGCAGCACTTGCGCAGGTGCAGTCGTTTAAGTTCCCTGGATTTGGAAGAGATGGCGGCCGAGGCCCAGCCCCCAGGGCCCCCAGTCATCAGCATTTTTCTGGGTGGGTCTAAAGAGACCATCCCCAAATGGGAGGTTTACTATTGGTTTGCCCACATTCATTAATGTTAATTATTATGGATATTGATATTGTGGTTAAGTATGGTTAAGTATGGTTAAGTATGGTTAAGTATGGTTAAGTATGGTTAAGTATGGTTAAGTATGGTTAATTGACAATTTCAACATCATCTCACAATCTCACCTCGCAAAGTTTCTCTTTTGTTGCTTGTTTTGTTGCTTTTCATACATGGGGTATGTTGGTATGTTGCTTAAAAATCGTTGTTGCGGGTCGCAGTTTCATGGTTTAGAGGTTTGATCCACACTCTTCACTGGTGTTGATGCTTGTTGGTTCCCTGTTGTCCCAATTTTAGTTGGCCAAATCCTCTTTCTTCCATTGGTCGGTTAAGCCACTACAGTCACTACTCGGTGTTTCGAAAAAAATGACCATTTCGGCAGGTCAACTTTTGTTGATTCAAACTCTAGTAACCCCAAGATAGAAACGGTCAAACTTAATAGCCTCAAATCGTCAGACTATTCAAAGATAATAACCCACTCACTCTAGTAATCTATAGTAATCCTATTTGAGGATCGGATTTCCCACGTCTCTTTGCATTTTGACTTCGGGGCCAATCTCCAGGAGGGTCGCCGTCGCCTAGCAGCGCAGCTGCGACGCAATGCCAAGAGCTATAAGCAGGCGAGCGGGGTTTGATTTAAGCAGCATGAGGGTTCAAGCAAAAGCAGGGATTGAAACTGTTAAGTGCTGGGTTTAGTATAATGTAGGTAGAACAATAATAAACCACCCATTTGGGAATGGTTTATACCACCTATTTATGGTGATTTGGGGGATGGTTCATTATTGTTTTAGCCACACTACTGTGGTATATTGTGGTTAAACTGGGAATTTGAGGCAACAACCATTCATGGGATCGCTCTGGGTTGATGTCAGGCGATCAACAATCCGGACATGCGTTGGGGTGCCCAACTGCAGCTTTGTCGATTGGACATGTGTTGTTTTGGAAAATTATCCACCAAAAAATTGGAGAAACCATGAGAAACCGAAACCTCCTCACTTCTGCGAAACCGAAACTCCTCACTTCCAGCCTTGCTGAAATGATTCTTTAAGTTAGCATCTATGGTTTGCATGAAACTCTTGCCCCAACATGCACCAGCTTTGTTCCCCATGTGTTGGTTGTATCCATTTGAGTTTGGGGCTTCTCTGCCCCGGTTCCAAATCCTTGAGGGAATCATGTTGTTGGGCGTGTCCCTATTTTGGTAGACTTGACTTGGCTGGTTCATGCGCTAATCCGTTAATCATTAGATATCTCAAGCAAAGAACAGGAATATGTCCAGAGACTATGGATACAACGCAAATCATCTTCATATCTCCTTATATTTCCTTTGGAATCTTTAATTTTTTGGAGAACCCAAACTATCCCAACAAATCAACTAGCTCAGCCTTTTAGGTCGAGGACACCATTCCTTGAAGCTCACAGTGCCCGAAGAGTTTCATCTCAGTTCTGCCGACCTGCTTGGAGTTCCGGTCGTGGATCCCTTGGGGCCGATTCCCGGTGCCAATCGGGATCGGATGAGTCTGAGAAATATTGGGATTATGCAAAAGTAAACCATCAGACTACCATAAATGGGAAGAAAGTCTTCCCATTTATGGTAGGTTTTTTATTATTGGGTTTACCACATTACACACAATCCACACAAGAACTAGCCAATAATCCAAATTTACTAGAAATTTATGGGCATTAAATCGCATTAATCAGTACAGATTGACGGTTCATGATCGTGTCTCCCAAATTGATAATGATAGTTTGATTCAATAGAATGAGGGTATAAGTGGTATAACAAATCAATTTGGACTTGTCAAAAAACCACATGGGGCCCCAAATCATTCATTTTAGTAGGATTTTCCATCATAAACCATCCATTTTGGGGACCCCCGTAAATTTTAAGCAATACTCATGTGGATATCCCACCATTGGTGCCAGGTGTTAGCAATCGGGCAGACCAACGAGGCACTGGTGTCAGTGCCAGCCAGGTCGCCATGGCCATGAGTACCTGGGGGTTCACCATGTAGTCATGGTAAATGGGCCCCAGATTGGGGAAATCACCAGCCTGGCAGCCCGGTGGGCAGATGTGACAGCCGTGCTGATTGGAGGATTCAGACTCTGACATCACTTGCTGCGACCGGCTCTAGCTTTTGCTGTCCACATCAAAAGGACTGTCCAATCCAAATCCAAATGAGGCGCTCAGAAACCCTTAAAGAGCCGCAAACAATACGCGTCCAAAGCCATAAATTGCGCTATTCCGAGGTACCTGTTCTCAACAGAAGTTTAATCCTCTCGGATCATTGACGAATGGCCTCTCAAAGGCCGGCCAAGGAGATCAACTGAAACACATGGAAACACACCTAAGATGTCCTAAGTCTCTTTGTATCATCTTAATGAGCCGACTCTAAAAATGGACTCTCCAACAATTCGTGTCTTTCCATAGCGGAAGCGTTCCATGATGTCAACATATGTCAACCATGGTTAACTCCACCGACCTTTTTTCAGTGTTTTGCTGGCACCGTGTTGCCATGCGAGACCCCAGTCAAAAGACCGTGGAGGTGGAGGAGTGCATTTTTTGATCGAGATAGGTCAGATAGGTGTGATTGAGAACAATGATTTGATCAGCCAAAATGTGGATTGGATTTATGATTCACAGTGATTTACACATTGAAAAGAACTGCGGATTTTTCAGACAAACCCAGAAGGACCCCTGAGTTGTGTTTTTGTTTTTCAAATCTGGCAATCTAGTCCGGCAAGGTAATTCCGTAGTTTGTAGATTCTATAGATGATGTTCCAGTCTTATTTCCGACTGTATATAACCAAAAGTGACCAAAAGAAGCAGTAGCTTCCACCAGAATAGTTTATACAGTATCAATACCACCAGAACACAATAGTTTATACTTGCCGGTGAGATATTATACATGTATCTAAGATATATATCTATTATATATATATATTTATATATTTAGTATATATATTAAATATCTATGATCAATAATGATTATCACCAATGATAGAGCGGTGCTCGGTCAAGCAGGAGCGCTTACGCTTCGATGAAGCGTCGCTGGAGCGTTTCTTGTCCCAGCAGGCGGCCTTCCAAATTATCGTCGCCAAGGAATGGTGGAAGTTCGGAGGCATCAGTTGCACCAAAAAAAACACCTAGCCCTACTGTTTAAGGGGTCAGTTATATGTAGATATACATAAATATATTGGTAATTGATTGGTAATTGATTGGTAGTTGATTGGTAATTGATTGGTAATTGATTAGTAATTGATTGGTACTTGATTGGCAATTGATTGGTAATTATGACATGTAGTATTGCGGTAAGTATACGTATGCATACAAACCTTGGAGCATTGATCCTGCTGTCCAGGGCCTGCCTGGCTTCAAAGAGGGAGCCATCAAGGTGAGGAAATTTGGTTATGGTCAGCAAGGGAGGCCCAGTTTCAGATCGGGATACCACTTGCGATTTAGCAGATTCAGCTTGACCAGGCCAGGATGTCTCTGTGTATACTCATATATTGTATGTTAACCATATGACATGTTATACTCTTATACTGTATCTTTATCATATATATATATATATTATATATACACTGTATCTTGATTATTGTGTATACTCATCTTTGATGTTATGACATTACATTAAATATGTTCCATTAAATGCTCCGTTACATGAAGTTCCAGAGTCGTTGGCGTTACCTGGGACCATCACACGCCGTTGTGAATGAAATGACCCCCAGAAATTGGATAGAAAACCTGGAAGCAGACACGACTCAGTACGACTCAGTAGCCAGCTAAAAACATCTACCCTCTGGTAATTTGTTACATAGCGAACTGGAAAATGGCCATAGAAATAGTGAGGTTTCCCATTAATAGCTATGGTGATTTTCCATAGTTTTTTGTTAACGTTTACCAGGCCGGGTAAAAACCATAGATTCATGTTGACCACATCGCAGCCGAGGTCAAATCCCACCTACTGTTTGCAGGTGGCCAATCACAGGTCACTTGGCAGATCTTGGCAGCCCGGATACCCCCCAAATGGATCCATTTTATGGGGATGCTTTGATGGATATATAATGATACTTAACTAGTTGGACTACTTTGGGGTCCCCCGTTTTCAGTATGGAACTATGAAACACTATGAAACTTGGTGATCGTGGTAAGCTACTCTACAAGAAATGATGCATAGCCGCATAGCTATGAGAAGTGTTCCACTCGTTTGTAAGAAGTGTCAAGGAGTCCTTAACGTGAGTTCGCACTTCGCTGGCAAAAGCTGATTGCACAAGGTTTCCCCACCATTTCAAGGGGTTTCTAGGCCAACCTTGCTTGGGATGAATGGATTATTTTCTGGAGGCAAAATTATACCCAGCCAAGAATTATTTCTGTTTAGATATGCCATCGTGCCACCCCTCGGCTTGAGGTATGTGCTGAGGAAGCAGCCCCCAGGCGAAACGGTCTGAAAAATGGAGAGGTTGCAACAAACACGGGGAGAAAACAGTTAATGTGGGTTTAAAAATGCCATAAACCACCCATTTGGGAATGGTTTATACCACCTATTTATGGTGATTTGGGGGAGGGCTTATTATTAACCCACAGTATTAAATATGACAAGACAATGTAAAACATGATGAATCGAGGAGTGTTTGGTTAGTGGGGACAGTGGGGATTGGTGGTTTCAACGCTTCACGAAAATGCGTAGAAAATCCAATGACAATGGAATAGCACCCTTTGAACCTGTGTGTAATATTGTGTAATCTACAAATACCGATACAAAATGACCTAAGCAATGCGTGGGTTTCACATGTAATCAAATATGTACAAGTTGATGTTTCCATGTGTGTCCATCTTGCGACCATCTATAAACCTATAAACTTGATATTATATATATATCATATTATATCATATTATATTATATTATAATTATGTGTATATATATATATATGTATGTTTGTATATCACAGTTCCATTTTTCAGATTGCAACCCCCCAACCCCCAAGCGGTCCCCCTTTAGATCAAATCAAGGCAAGTTGATCCGTGGTGCCCACGCGGTGGACCGAGAGTTTCGAGTCATGAAGGCTTTGAACCAGGCGATGTGGGAGACTTCCGGTGAAGCGGTGAAACAGAAAAAACCAGGTTGAATGGATTGAATATCAGGCTTAGTTTCGAGATTTGAAACTCATTTATGAAATATTGGTATATTGATGTATTAATTGGGTTTAATGTCGAAGATTTTCATCTTTACGACTTGGGTTTGCTTGCTTTTTTTTGGCCATTTCAGAGCAACAAAGTCTCCCATACGAGAGGTCTCCCATGTCATCATGTCTCGCTGTTCCGACAAGAACCAAGAAGAACCAACAAGAACCAACAGAACCAACACGAACAATAACAAACCCAACAAGGAACAAGAACAACAACAAGAAACAAGAAGAACAGAAGAACAAAAACAACCAGGACAAGGCAAAACCCGTGCCCGAATCCAAACGAAACACGTTTGTTCGAAATTGCTGCCTTTGAGCCGTGCGAGAAAAAAAACAATGGCCCCAACATGTTGCCAATAGCGTGCAAGGAGATTTTGAAGATCAACCACGCCATTGGAATTTGTTCAGGTGGGTTACGAAGTTCCTCCGGTGCACGTGCTCTGCGAAGACCCGCAGGCACGGTTAAAAACCGTTGGGGGTTGGTGTGATGATTGGCCGGTTGCCGTTGATTTTCCTGAAAGGTTTCACTAATATAGTTTCGTTGGCAAATGTTGTCAATGCATTATATTGATATTATTTTATACGAAACTAGTGAATGATATGCTTTTACAAAGAACTGTTTTTTTGTGCAGTTTCTGGCAGGTACATCATCCAATCACAAGATCCCTACCCTCTTAAAAATGGAATTTGAGGGCGGGGGAGTCGTACTGAAATTTCATTTTAAAATTCCATTTTCGCAATCATGCTTTCTCAATGATCAATATTCCTCATCATTCCATGTCATTGGCAAGCAGATGAAAATTAAATACTTGCGCTTAGCTCCGGAGGAGCTGAGCACATGTCAGACTGAAGCAGCACATATGTAGGGATGGCATCCCTCCAAAAATTGCGCCGCCGTCATCATGCTTGCACTTAGCTCCTCCGGAGCTAAGCGCAAGTATTTTCTACCCAGTGCCCAAGGCTTGTTAAGAAATGTTACTTTACAATTCCATTTGAGGGGGTGGATCACTATCCCAGGGTTTCCAAGCAAAAAAAAATGGAATTCGACAGCTTGGTTTTGTCCCCCCCGCCCTCCCCCTCTATAGGGGTAGGGATATCACAAGAGATATTTTCATAGGGGGCTCTCTTACAGTGAATGATTCAAATGCAGGGCATGAAATCAGCAACCACGAAATGATGGTGATCTTCTAGTGGTTCTTTCATGAGACTTCAGATCAATGAGGTGGTCGTGACCCCACATAACTGGTGCCAGTGGTTGGATGGTTTCTCCCCGCACTCAACATGTCATTTCCCATAGGATCCATGTATGGTATATATGGTAACATTTACCATCAATATACACCCAATGTTACCATATATGCCATACATGGATCCTATGGGTTTATATTCGTGATTTTCCGATTTTCCATTGACATGGCTGAGTTTCCTCCATTTTGCTAGTTGCGAGTTACTATAGTTATCTCACCAGTTTTACTCCACTTGCTTGAAATATGTGTGTCAATTTTGGATGGTGTTCCGACACTTTCTCTACATAAGGTCATCGGCACGCCCTTCTATGTGATGTCCTTCATGGAGGCCAAAGCTGGTGAACCGCCTCGGTTTTTGTGTCCGGTGTAAAAGATGCCAACATGTTTTATCATGATGCGGTTCCAGACTGAGAGTTGCTAGGATAAAATGAGTTGGGTAGGGATCAATACCTATTAATACCATTTTTAATGGGATGAACATCCATTTACCAGCTATTTTGATGTTCACCAGGGGTACAAGGTTTTGACACACTGCCAGTTGTTTTCTATGTTTGATTCAAACCGGTTTAACGCTGAATGGCAGTGAACTCATGTTTGTTTTCATAGAAGATTGTGACACAAACCGGAAATCCCCACGTGCAATGAGTAGATCATGAAGAAATCAAGGCTACTAGCTACTTAAAATGACTAGACTACTAGACCGACTTGTAGACCCTATCTAAGATCAGCCATAAACGACTTATCACATTTAATCATGTTCCAGGATACAAGGTTGTACTGGGGACCCAGAGCACACTACATGACAAAACCACTAAAAAAACGGAACCCAAAACCGTCAAACCCAGATTGGGATATCAGGTCCACAAGTGGTGCATTACCAGGGCCCAAGCGACAAAATCTCTTTGCTTGTATATAGCCCTTGGTGACTTTCTTAAACACTATGGGATCCAGAATGTTACAGCACATAGGTTTGTATCAAATTTCAACCCCAAATTCCTGCCTGGGCAGTTTCAACGGTTTACTACTTGTCCATCCCAATCTTGAAGATTCCCAAGGGCGAAGTCATGATGTTTGGTGTCCTTGTGTGTGTGTGGTTCAACCACCATGCAGCCATTCTTGACAGTCAAAATGTTGGATTTGCAATCATTTTACCCTCTGGTAATTTAACATAGCTATTGAAAATGGCCATTTATAGTTGATTTTCCCATTAAAAATGGTGATTTTCCATAGCATGTTAGTTTACCAGAGGGTACTCGGAAAACAAACAATCGCCCAGTCGTTGTTCCAAGGACTTGCTCTGCTACATGGAGAGCCTCATGGGGTTCCGAACAAAAAAGTATTTAGCCCTGGGTCAAAATTTTGGACACGCTTTGGGCTTCGGGTGGTCATCACCATCTCAAATCAATCCATGTTTTTCGGTCGACCCACTTGATTGAAACCATCCCCATTTTGTTCCACGCATTCACACCAAAACGTATGAAACAGCCAGGGACGCATCGCGGACAACGGCCTGCTGAACCTTCCGAAGGAGGAGCGGCCTGCGGTGATGCAGTCCATCGTGCAGAGCCTGGCAAAGTTTCTTGTAGCAGTGCGAAGCGCTTCCCTGGGAGATGAAGAAGAATCGCAATCATCATTTGTCATCCTCTATCATCATCTATCCTAATTATAATTATGATAATTATGAGAATACTACTATAGTAATAATAGTAATAGAATTATTCATCATCATCATCATCATCATAGCAATACCATGCATCATGGTCAACATATATGCTGGTAAATCACGGCAAACTTTGAATATCTTGATTTGCAGTAGTGATTCATGATGTCATGCCTGAAACTCGGAAGTGTGCAAGCTGGATTTTTGTTTGTTTCTACCGCGTTGCAATTCCCTTGGAAGAAGAAATATCGTTGAATCGCGGGGTGGAACATGTTCAAAAAAATGGTAGACATGTCGAAATGTCCGCACACTCCTGGCTCGATGTGTGGCTGCCGTTGGCCGATTTCGGAGTATCAACGGCTTTCCAAAAGCTGTCCAAATGCAATAATGATTACAGTTGCTTGTATATATCCACCGTATCCACTCTTGGCAGGTTGTTGTCCACATTTTATCATGTAGCTGTTTTCACTGATATAGATATAGATTCTATAGATATTCCCAAAAACGACGAAACTTCTCAAGCCTCATGAAATCTCGCTGCCCCCAGGCTCCACGGCTATGACCCAAAGGAGTTGGGCTTGCTGCAAGGTGCGGTCCCCGGTGGGTCCCCGGTGCGGTGGACGCTCGTCGCGTTGCACAGGAAGCAAACCCTTTGGAAAGATGGGAGGATTCTATGAGCCGCACGTCTGCAGGGTGGCGCCACGGCCATTCCGGCCCGGCAAGCCCAAAATGAGGGAAAATGTGAGGAAAACCTGGGAAGAATATGAAAAAATATGAAAAACATCATGGTCTTGCTATGTAGTTGTCTCTAGAAACTTACTCGTGTGTGGCTCAACCAACTGCCGGGCCAATAAATCGGGAGAGAAACCCACCAGCAACGCATCAAAACCCGGCAACCGATTGATAGTTGCATTAAAAAAAGCAGTACAATTTGAGGTATGTCTTCCTGAAAACTAGCAACTTGGATTACTTGGATTACTTCATGAAAGTCTAATTTTGGGATGTTTGGAGATCATCACTTTACATATAGAACATCTTTTTCTGAAACCTGCAACTCTGCTCGGAGCAATCTCTCAGGAGGCAGATTCGAACCCTTCAACGCACCAGTGAAGCGCAGGCGCCATGTTTGCCTGTTGAATCCACCACAAAATCTCGGCGTATGTGAAACAAGCTGCTGCTTCACATAAGTAGCATGTTAATTACGAAAAGTCTCACATGATGCAGCTGAAACCTATAAAAAGTTCTGTGCCTGTTGCGAAAAAAAACAGTTTGAAATCTTTAAAAATCTGAAAAGGCATTTTAAATATCAATCAATATCAATATCAATATCAATCATTGCTTTTCATGACTTAAAACTTCTGATGAAATCCCTAAATTCTGAAATCTGCAGGTCTCCAACTCCCAGGGCCAGGTGCCTCCCATGAAGGCCATGCCGGAGCTATTGAGGCACGGCAAGCTATGGCCTTCAAATTCGAAAAAGCTGTTTATTGATCTGTTAAGTCTGTGAATTACTGTGAATTACTGTGTTATTGGTTTTATAAAATTCTGTGAATTTGCGGTGTTTAATTTTACAAGTCTGTCTTTTCTATTCGTATTTTGCGAAGGTTTGATGGTTGTCTCCCGACAGCGCATGGTAGGAATTTCTGGGATTTCATGGGATGATTCAAGGACAGGGCCGGCCGAGCATTGCCTCGGAATTCTTATTGATTGGTTCCTCCATGTTCCCATTTTCTTTGGCTATCTGTATTAGTTCTCCAGTTGGTTTTCATCCATGGTTCCCAAATTTTGGCTGGTTGAGGTTCAGTATCTCCCCATTTTGTCGTTTCACACTTGGCAAAATTGACGCCAAATTCATGGAAAGGATGTCTCCCAGAATCGGGAATGAAAGATTTACAGTTCCCCTATTTTTTTCCTGCCAAACACATCAAACACCATGATTTCCTGTCAATGCTCCCTTCAACGAATCCATCAAAAAAATCCACTAAAAACCATCTCATTGTCCCAGACATGGTTGAAGGCTATGAAAAACT